TGGGTCATACACTATCCACTCTATCTGGAGTCCAGTCTAATGTGCCTATGGTCCAACGGTAATAACTTATTGTTACAACGTGTTAGGACTTGGAAGCGAATAACAATATATTTATGTCAGAGAGAGAATGTTTCCACTAGTAGTTACTAGCCCAACATCATTTGCCAGTTCCGGGGTGGCAAGATATCTAGCCGAAAGGTTGAGCTGGGTCTTCCCTTTAGAACGAGACCTTCGTCTCTGCCATTGTCAGCACACACTGTTTCTGAGTCGAAAATAGATAACGCCGTTAAATAGCCAAGACGAAAGCACAGTTAAGAGAGAAATACTCAAGTAGCTCTCTTTCGAGATAGACAAGAGATATACCCCCTTGAATACATCTATTCCAAAATTGAAACCATGTTCTCAGGCATGCCATAGCTTTTCAAGATTTGCCACATCTTCGGATGATCATCATCAGCCATTTTCGTTTCATTGTTGGAGGAAGGCCTCTGCAAGACTTTGCCTAGAAATTCTGTTTCGGAAATTTCTATCCATTTTGATGCATCTTCGGACTATATAGTGAATCAGATGCAGCCCTAAAATTGAGGAAACTAGCAAACCGAGGCAACTTGAATCGCTGGCACTTTAAAATCAAGAAGGCCTGCGGGGTCGATCGAACTCTTCATGATTTATTCAGGTTTGGAGGAACGGAAATAGTAGAAACATTCAATGCCCAATTTCATCAAATGCAGAGAACCAAACGTTTCCCTGGTGAATGAAAGGATTAAGTAATTGTCTCTATATTTAAAAGGGGTCGGATGACGGACTGTTCCAAATATCCTGGCATCCCGCTACTCTCAATTATCGGAACATTTTTCTCCTTGATTGTCCTGGGAAAGTTGAAGAATACTGTTGATGGGAGATTTCGCTCAAACGCTGGCTTCCAGATTGGGGGCACCCGTTCCCCGCCCATATCCTTGCTCTACGTAGGATCTCTGAGCAACGCCAAATTGCAGCTGACCCCTCTCCGAAACAAACAAGCATCTGGTCAAGGGCAACTAAATACGAGCAACTACCTGTTGAGAATGACAGCCCGCATTCGAGCGCAGTATTTTACAATCGCCTGCTTGAGTCCCACAACAACTGAGCCATCAGACATAGTGTCTTTTCAGTAGTGGACATTGAAACCATTGTTGCTTCTGAACAGACTTATGGAGAAACGTGATTTTCGTCTGGTCGCAAGCCTTTTGTCATGGGCAATTATGAAAATGCCGCTGCATAAGGCCGGGCAGCACGGGACTAATTACACAAACATATTGGCGCGCTGTTCACAGCACATGTTATGCGCTACGGTCGGTTTCACTCAACGATGTGCACGACAAGCCGCCATCGTGTCAAAATTAGAAAACCAACCGCTTTCATCAGGGTTACCTCACTTAGCAACGTTATCAGGAATAAAGCAAATGCCAAACTACAAATTACCGTAACCGAATGTATGATGCTCAGGTAATGCAACAATCTGATGGTCACCTCGATGTTTGTCGTGGTGCTCTGTGACAGTCATTTGGTGAATATTGTCCGCCAATGCAGCGTCGACGTCGCTGCTGTGATGATCTGCAACGATGTTTGTAAAATGCATGGCAATTGATCATCGATCGGCGACGTTGCCGTCATTGTTTGGAGGCGCCGTTACAATTTGACGGCGGTCCTCTCGGACCTGCGGTAATTAATGCCGAATTGATATTAATGACGAGCGGTAGAGACTAGAGCTCGTCTTCTGCGACCGACCGGCCAACGTTTCCTCTTCGCGACAGTAACCAATCAACTTTCATCTCGTAGTTTGCAGCCTCGAGGCCGTTCTACTCCTCCTCGGCCTTTGGTTTCACAGAGGGGAGCCGAGTACCTCAGACGGTTCGATGTGCGGCTGCCATGACCCAAGGCTCCACCGTTGCTCAGCACCGAAACATTTCACACGCGTCCCTTTTCGGCCCGGTTTTTTTTGGCGGTGAGTCTCAACAACACGTGCGTCGTCGTTGCGGAACAAGTAGTGACGGCAGTAATCCTGGCAAGGCGTCTGAAGTCGCAGCCATCGCTGTCTTCTACATTGTCCCCCTTTCCGCGCAAACTAAACATCGGCATGACGTTTCTGAAAGTGGTGATTCTCGGAGCGCCCGGCTGCGGCAAGACGGCGCTCGTCAAACAGTTCGTCACTCACTCATTCCCGGAAACTCACGTTGCCACCGAGAAGCCCGAATACTATTATCCGTCAATTTTTGCTGACAACTCGTTGTTCGAACTGCGCATCACCGACCTTCCGCCGATCGTTGCCTTCCCAAAGTCTACTATCGAAGAATGGACCCTGTACCAGGGCTACGGTCTGCGTTCGGCCAACGCCTTCCTGCTGATTTTGGACATCACGTCGGCCGAGTCGTTCAAGTTCGCCAAATCCATCAAGGAGCAGTGGCAGACGTCCGGTCTGGACACGCCGTTCGTCATGGTCAGCAACAAGTGGGACCTGGTTCACAGAGGAACGTCCAGCGACGGCAAGTCCGACATGTCCACCGAACACTACAAGAAAGAGCTGGCTAACGCCATTAAGAAGCAGTGGAAATGTCCGTACGTCGAATGCTCCGCCAAATACAACTGGAACGTCACCACTGTTTTCAAGGAGGTGGTAACCCAACTGGAAAAACTACCCAGCCCCAACCGCTACAGCTTCAAGTCGTTCAACGGCCAGAGCAAGAGCTCCCGGAAACGAACTTGCCCGTTTTTGTGAAGATTTAATTTTGCCATCACGACTATTAATTTTACTGTTATTGAATAAACTCTCTCAGGAGAGATCATTCATTGCCGCTCAAAGCGAGGTAGGTCATGAGACGATGATGTACCCGATTCAACACCACGTCTCGATAGAGAATCGGCTGTCTGATCTCCTGGCGTCGAACCATTAGTTCATCTTCAAGCCACGGTGATGGACTACCGTGTCTATACAATCAATGATGTGCGTGCACTTCTTGCTGTGAACGTTTTGTACATAGTAGACGCCAAAAGTCTTGTTCTTGGTACGAAATAAACACGTGAACACGAAGGCAGATAACAAACTTCAAAGAAATGACTCATCGGTTTTTCCCTGACACACATGCTTAGTGCATTCTTCAGGTCCTCGTATAGTTTGCATTATTGATTTGTGAGTTTTTTAAAAGTTTATCTCCTTTTACAACTGGAGAGCAATCGATGAGAAATGCGAAGTTTGCCAGTAACGTGTACCATTAGTAGCTGCATTAATTAATGGCCTGTCTTGGCAAACACAACTTCGCTTTTCTTGCCTTCGTTTTTCTATCCTGTCGTCTAGGTGAAAACGTAAGCTGTTAGCTGAGTACTTTTATAATTCATGACTTTCTTGAAGTGAAGTTTTGGGGCCGCCTCCGTTCGCCGGCTGATCTTCAGGTAGCCAGCAATTTTGCTAACTGAAAAGCCGATTGCAGCCAGGAAAAGGAAAGTGACCCATGGAATGTGGGTCTTCTTCACACTTCCATCATGGACCATTTCTGGTGCCCATTTTTCCATG